CTTAATTACCAATCATTGTCATAAATGGCAATACCGTGCACAAATTAAAACCTTGGGTTTTCATATTCGTACCTTCTCTGTTCTTTCAACAATTGTATTTTTGTTCATAATTTTTCACATTGCAACAATTGTATTTTTCCAGGAGACAGCAGCTCGAACAATCCGTGTATTGCGAGGCTGACGCTCGGCACACCGCTGTCGAAGATGAAAGGCAAGATGTTCAAGGTGCCAATCAGGCAAAAATAAAGGTATTTACAAAATAATATCCCTTTTTTTCCTCTACTGAGATTACAATAATTACGGTCTCTGGTTACAGAGTACTACGCAAGATTTATTCGAGTTGCTCGAAAGAGTGCAGAGTTCGAGGCTCGATGATCAACGATGCGTTCTGCCGCCGTACTTTTCCCAGGTAAGAAACCACCTTTAAAACGCTTATTTATATCTCATTTCTCAATGCTTCTTCGAGCTTTCAACGCTGAAACGATCGATTGGATCGCTGATTCTTTAATACAGGTTAAAAATGTAATGGAAACAATATTTCTTTTTTTAAATCAATCAGAAATGTGTATTTTCTTTGTCAGATAGGCGAAGAAATATAATATAGATTTTTTAGTACGTCGTAGAATTTTAGTAATTAGGTTATGTGTGCCTTGAGATAAAAGAGGTTAGAAATCGTTAAATTAGATCATAATTCTCCTTCCTAACTATTATCATTTGGAATTTATCTCATTTTACTTCAACCTTCAAATAGAACATCAGTCTTCCATCTGTAATTATTTTTTAACGATAAAAAAGTGTGTCTAAAGGGTCGAAGTAAAACGTCTAATTCTGTTGGTATTAAAGGTCACAAGCAATGGAATTCGAGATAATACAATGCCCGTATATTAAACTGCCTACCCGTATATTTCTCAAACTCTCTCATATTTCACCCTTTTACACTGATTATCGTTTTCTATTCATAAATATCATTTACCATTTATCGCGTACTAATTATCAAACTTGCTTATTGACGCTTGAAAAATTGGTTAGGAGAGTTGCGGTTGAGGTTAGGTCACTTGTCCAGTCGGTATTCACGCGTAACCGGAATCTCAATCTGTCCGGCGTGAATGACTGGGAAGATAAATGGACGCGATCGTCCACGGTGTGAGTAGCAAAAAGGTTTAGGACGAATCATTTGGTTACGCGCTGCTTGAATTTCAATAAGGATCCGCGTCACGTGGCGTGTAGGAAACTTTCGGTTCGTTGCTTCTCCTAGGGGAGAATTCTGCCAGTCACGTGCTAAACCGCTGTAATCGGGGTCCGACATGACCGAAAATGATCGCAGAATTCATTCATCGAAGCCTCCACCTTTTCCTCGTATGCCTTCTGATTAACGATTAACGATAGCTCTATTCGTACTGTGTTCGATTTATCGGTAACAAGCGTGATTCTGCGAAAAGTGACGAATTGTTGGGATCGTTGGTGTATTGATTAATAAAGTCGAAGAACGTGACTGGAGATTGTCAAAAATAGGGATAAATAATTGCTATAAATGAAGGGGAGAAGAATTTGTCCTTTTTTTTTTCTTCTTTACATTTTTATTTGGTGCTAACAAGTTAAACTTCAGTGCCTGTAGAGTGGTACTGTGCGAGGAAGCTGTATGTCACTCATTTAGGAATTTTATTGTGTGCACAGAGGTCACATGCGTCGCATACAATTCGTACTTTCGTGAATGTGCTACACGTGCTTACCTCATGTCGAGAATCTAAATTTTTTACCTTCTTCTTAAACTAAAATAAAAACGTCGAGCACATCCTTTCTCGCTTTGTGTAGTACTTCTTCATGTGGCACCCAAATGTAAGGTCTTTTTATCGTACAGTGCAGAATAAAAGCATTTGGATTTTTGAATGTTCTTGAATTTTAGAGTACTGTGGAAATCTGTTAGATTAGACAAGAGTTTATTATGTATAGGTATAACAGTTTACTTGTACTCATAGGGAAAACAGTGATGATTGAAAAAAAAGTAACTTATCGACAGTATGCTTTCTGTCGGTAGGAATGGAATATTCTTTATTTAATGCAATCTGTTCAGATTCCAATTTGATTCTACTGTGCTTTAGCTGTTGAGATACTTTTTGGGTAAGTTAGAGTCGAGTTAAGGTAACGGGTCGACCGTTGGCAAGCTTCCTGTCGGTAAGTACGGAATTTTTTTTATTGAGTGCTATAATTCAGACTCCAACTGGTTTGCACTGTGCTTTACCGTCAGAGATATTTTCTGGGTAAGTTAGGACAGAGTCATGATAACTGGTCGACTGTTGACATGTCTCCTGTCGATACGTATGGAATTTTCTTTGTTCAGTGCAATCACTCCAGATTCCAATTTACTCGCACTACCTTTCATCGTCTGAAATATCTTTTGGTGTATAGCGCAGAAACGAAATTTAATATTTGCATGTAGTAAATAAAACTTTTTCTATTTTCTGAACAATTGTTTGTTATTTGAATAGAGACGCACTTTGCTGATGAATTTTTAATAAACTGCAGATGAAGTAATAAAGTAAAGAAAAAAGTTTTATTTTATTTCAAACTAAAAACAGATTATATGAAATAAGTTGAACTATTTTAACGTAGTATTACAT